ACAAATATTATTATTAATATTACTGATATACAATCAATGTAATGCTTCAATCCAAAGACATAAATCAGCTATTACTGAATGCTTAACACATATACAAACATAGACAAACACAGACAGTGATGATTAAAGAAGGATATCATTGCAACATCAAATATACATTTTACTAGCATGATTCATTAGTTTCACAGTGAAGTAAAAGGAAATTACTAGAGTGCTCAAACAAACTTAATAACAAATGATATGACTGAATAACAAACAATAAAACAAAACGAGCAATTGCATTTATGATTTAAATATGCACATATATGTACCTACACATGCTAACAAGATTCTGCAGGTCTCTGAAGCATTTACAAATTATTTAATAACATTTACAAACAATCTATTGTGATAACAATGCTGTTATTGAACAGTATATTACGAACGAACAAACTAATTAAATATACTTAATCAATATAACATTGGACAAACTTAACACAAAGTGGATGACATTCGGAACAGACAGTACACAGAACAGACAATGCATTACTATAATGCTAATAATATTATTATTAACTACATCAAGTTATAAACACGTTACACAAACGAACAATTGTACAATGCAGTTATAATGATTAAACCATCTATACATACTGTAAGCAAACATCTTACAAGTCTAGTAGACCTAGTAAGAGTTTGAAGGGGAGTGTTAAGACAAGACTACACGAGAGTATGTCTCAGATGATATAAACTACATTACAAGCAATGACGAACAATGATGGAATACCTTTCATCATACATTCTACATCTGAGACATACCTACATAGTATATATAGACTAACTAATCAACGGACAATGAAGCAAGCCGCAAGAGAGCGAGCCGAGTCCACTATCCCCCCTCTTTGTGTGATCCCTCTAAGCCTCTCACATAACCTCACTTCCCCTTTCTTAACATACAGTGATACTCTCTCGCAGTTGAGGATATTACAAATTGTCTAATGACTGAAAAATGAGCCTGTCTCGTTTGAGCTGTACGTCAAGAGGTTGGCAGTGCACTTCCTTTTCCTTTGAGCCAACGTTCATGGACTCGGAAATTACAACATATGAAGCATTCTTAATGACATTGGGAATTCGAAGAGTTATTACTCAGTGACTCAGTCGTGTAATATATTATCCAGCACTAAACAGCGCCACACGGATAGTTGAAGTACACTGTGGACTGTGGAGGTATAACTTATACAAAGCTCTGGAATTCATGAGCACAACGAAGTGCTCGTTCCTGTGAATCCTGTCAAATGCATTTTGCAGGCAAACTGCTACAGAATGGTGGCCTTACGACGTAGGTAAAAACACAATTTACTTCCAAACTTCTCCCAAATTAATTATTGCGTCTAACCGCAGCTATATCTTCCACTGGAGAGCGCGGTGTACTCTGATGCATGCATAAGTGCACCTGTGTCAGATTTTTCTGGAACTACTACGACCATGAGAAAAGAAGTTCGAAGAGGAAATAGGGAATGCGCAGAATGAGCAGAATAGTCTATTCTGTATTATGAAGGTCATCCACCGAGATTTCCTGTGTGTTAGCTGCATAATCATATGCAGTTTTTATTTTCTCGACATTCTTGGGGTTCTTAGCGTTACCCTGTTCGTGTTTCAGTCTTCCATGTAGTTCATTCAACAACAACCTCCTTGTTTGATTATAATGGATGACTATCCCCTGCTCGAAGGCCTCGACATTGCTGCTGTTAGAGTTAACCAAGTTCTCAAGCTTCTGTCTCATAGAACTCCATTGACTCCTTGATAGGCCACACTCCTCAGCTTGCTGAATAAAAAAGACGATTCCTTGTATAGCTCCCACATGGTTTATATTTTGCTCTTCAACAGACTCGTCGATTGGGTCCATTGGTTCCGCTGCTGCGCAAGGCGACTTCCATGCTTTTTTACGGCGTTTTGACATCCGCTGTCTCAGGCGGTAATAGACAAGTCACTTGAACAAGGAAGAAATTTGTTTATTGATTACTATACATTGAATATATAGTAATGGTTTGCGACTAGTTACCATCACGGAGGAACTCAGCAAAGTTGTTTCGAGCCATTCAGGTATGCATTATCATGATACTTAACTCGGGTGTATTGCATTTTGCATACTGGATCAGTCGGAGTTACTAGATGGTAGTGCTCCGCGCGTAGCGTATACGCTTACGCGCGTAAAATTTCCCACGTATACGCATACGCGCGTATAATTACGGGCGTAAACTGGGTCAGCAGGACCCATATACGATACGCTACTTCCGTATACGGCGTATACGGCGTATACGCTGTGCCAAATATAACAAGATACTTTACATTAAAGTAGCTCATAAAAGTACACTATCATCTTTCAAAACAAATGCTTGATATTACTGAGCTAAGAAAATGTATTGTAGTGCTGTTTACACACAGAAATAAGACAGTTGAGTGTTGTGAGTTAATATCACGTGACAGCTCTAAACCTTCTATAGTTGCTGAAGTCCGGTCCTGGTCCGGTCCGGGCATACTTCACCTGGACTCAGGACCGGACCAAATCTGCGGTCCGGGAGTGTCCCAGACTGGGGACCGGACCTATGTGGACGGGTAGTGGACTGGACCCAAGTTCCAGTCCGGTTCTGGACCCAAGTTCCAGTCCGGTTCTGGACCAGTCCATAACCGGACCTGAGAGAAAAAAAATTTAAGAGATGAGTTAGAGTATTATTCTTTGTATCTAAGTACAAAAGTAATATATTTTTGTATATACTACATAATCTACAGACTAGACACTGTAGTGGTTTTCCTGACGCAATTCTGAGGCTTCGGCGCGAGCCTCGCGACACGAGCCCTGAAGCTGGACTACAACTGCCTCTAAGCTGGTTACTGCGATTTACGGACACTTAGTTGTCGGAACATGAATATTTAGGTACTTAGCAGCAGACGGACCTGTCTCTTCGAGGGTGGCAATATAGTTGGCACGGCGTGCACGGAAAGCAGCCTGAGCGTCAGCGTTCTTCTTCTTTCTGAGAGTGATTTCGGACATCTTGTCTAATTTGTCGGGGGCAGGGGCATTGGCTGGCTGCTTGACTGGGGAGGGCGGCTGGGACTGCAGCGTCTTTGGCATAGGATGGGAGAGGAGTGAATATACATAAAGGGAATAAATATTTCGGGAGACAATAA